AAAGGGGCGGGCCAACCACTGTGTCCTTAGAGAAAGGGGCGGGCCAAGCACTGTGTCCTGAGTAAAGGACCCGTCTTAAGCTGAGGATGCGGCTCAGTGGGTAGAAGTGCTTGCTGGCTAAGCACGAAGACCCGACTCCAAATCCTCTACACCCAAGTACAAAGCCAGTTGTAAGCGTGCATACTTCTGTAACCCCAGTGCTTTATGGGGCACAGACAGGAAGATCCCTGAGCATTGCCAGCTGCCAGCCTGGCTCAGGTTCAGGGAGAGACCCTGTCTCAAGGGAATAAGGCAGAGTGGTAGATATAGTCCCTTCACTGATTTCTGTACACACAAACACACACATACAAACATGTACACACATACGTGCATACACACACACACAAACATACATACATGCACATCACACATATGCACACACATGCATGTGAATAGACATTTGCACATACACACATATGCACACACATGCATGTGAATAGACATATGCACATACATAGACACAAGTACACACAATCATGCATACAGGCATATACACAGATATACACACAAATATACAGATATGCACATGCGCACATGCATACGGACAGACATACATACATAAGCCTATACACATGCACATAGACACATGCATATATACATACATATATGCATACAGAAATACATAAACATACACACATGCACATGCAGATATATACATATACACATGTACACACACAAGCATGCATACAGATATATACATATAAACACCAGTGCATTCACAAACATACACATATACACATACTTCTGTGTGTACACACACACACACACACACACACGGTGATGCCAGTTGAGGCTTACATATAGAAACATTTTACATTTATGATTTCTTGTTGCTTTTCTTCTTAAGAGGTGGTCACATTTCAGAGCTAACCAAGTGACTTCATCAATAAGGTGAATAACAGGACATACTTCAGGCAGATAATTCTGATACTGTGTTGTAATTTCATTATATTATAATAAAATGCCTTCTGACATAGATTTGTGTATGAAACTGGATAGAGAAAGCCATTGAGGCAGTTCAGTGGCTTGTGACATTCTCCTTTTAATTAGAGCTAACACTGCAATAGTTTCTCTTGATGCTATGTAGACTTGGAAAATGAGAGCACTTAAGATTCCTTCTTTCATTTGAGTATGGCAGCACAGGCATAACTTAAAAGCAATTGAGAGACTGAGGCAGAAGGATTGCCTGGATGGCCTAATGAGTTGAAGAGCAGTCTGGGCTCCAGAGCAAGGCCCTGTCTTGGAAATCTTACACAAACGTACACAGCCCCAAGTCTTTCTTCCATTTATCTGTTTCATTTCCCCATCTATATTCCTCTGTGTCCTCCTCCTCTCTCCTCTTCCCTCCTCTCTCATTTTCCTTTCTCCTCTTCTGTCCATTCTCCTCGCCTCCTTTCCGCCTTCCCTCCCGCTTTGTCCTTGTGCAGGGTCTATTGATTCTGTATTACAACATAACAAATCTCTGTGTTTATTTGCTTATTGCATGGCCCTGACAGGAAACAAGCTGAGTGGTTCCCTGGGCCAATCTTCCTTGCAGTGAATAGTTGAATTGTGTAGGGTGCACATGTTTGCGTTTAGCTGGGGATAGAGTGTCAGGGTGGCCTCACTCACGTGTCTAGGTGACTAGCTAAGGTGTTGGCACACCTGGGAAACACCTGGGAGCTGGCGGAACGTCTCTATTTTTGTGTGTGCTCTCGATAGACAAGCTTGCTGGCTCTCTTAATATATCATCCTGATGAGGTCTCAAGGTGACAGTCTTAACTCAGCAGAACTCATCTATAATGGCTTTGTGTCTGTCGGTCTTTGTCCAGCTTTGACAGAGGATCCCAAAGTGGAAAGAGAGCACTCCTCTCTGCCTTCTAGGGAAGAACCTGTCTCTGTCTGGGGGATTGGACTCCTTTGCACTTTGTTCCTCTGTAGTTTTCTCTTTTAAAATATATGGCTGTTTAGTTTATCTGGAGCTTCTAGGATGAAAATATTGTTCGTTATGATTCTTCTTCTGAATAAAATTAGACTTCTTGAGATTAGTTTTGAGTTTCTAACAACGCTGTTGGTATAATCCAGAGTAGGATCAAGGCCAGAGGCTTCTGGGAATTTTACACCTATCTTTCCTAGATTAGAATACATTTCTAACTGTGAGCTGTGACTCCTGGTTTCTTCAATGAACTTTAAGATTTTGAAGTAGAAGTCACAATATGCGAACACAGTTTTGTCAGTGATGAGGTCTGGATCACACAGCGAGGTGGTTGATTGTGCCCTTCAGTGCAGCTGTGCACGTTTGCTCACCTTCCAGTGTTGATGGATGGTTTTATAGCTTTTCCTTTGATTTCAAAATAAATTCAGAGGCTCATAAAAGAATGTTACTGGGATACTTAGAGATTTCCTCTACTGGTAATAGGCATTGAATTAAAAATATTTCCTAAGGCTGTAAAAATATTCTTGCCATAGTTAATATTGCTAAGCAGCTTCATTAAGCGGTACCCATTAAACAAATTTCTAACATTAAATTCTTTCTAAATGAAATTTTTGGCCAGTTTTCATCTTCTGTGTCATGTTTTAATATTAACTTGTCCTAATCACTATAGGGATGATTAATTGGGACAAAGTCTGGAAGACAAGCATGAGCTTTACACATCTTAGTGTCTAGCGAGCTGACGTATTAAGGTTGGGGATTCTGAGATTTTAGTAGTGTGCTGGGAAGGACATGCTTGCTTACAATGATTGCACACATACTTCAGCTGTGTATTATGTTCAGCCCCAGATTCTGGTAAAGTTTCTGGAAGCCTCTGCCTTTAATGTTTCTCTCTGATCTGAGTAATCACCACTGCATAGGTTCTAGAATAACTACCGTATACTAACTTGTAGAGATTACTGACCTCGTTAAAAAGTCTCTATACTTTCAGTGATCACCATTTAAATCATATTTTTGAAGGAGGAAGATCTTCTAGATCTTCTGGAACAGTGCGAAATCGACGATGAAAAGCTGATGGGGAAAACCGCCCGGGTCCGAGGACCGAAGGTGAGATGGCACCCAAGTCCGTGTCTTGAGCGCAAGTGATCGCTGTTCTGCATTTCCCTTAACAGTTAGGATTCGTTTTCATAGGAACTTCAGGAACTTTGTGTTCAGTGAAGACAAAACCGGGCAAATGGCGTTCCCTCAAACTCACAAGCGTTGTTTGATTAGCTTCCTTCAGAGTTTCGGTTCATTCCCAAGTGCTAACAAATGCCTAGAGATTCAGTCAGGCGGGACTTCGGAGGACTACCCCTGTTCTAAGGTCAATGTCAGATTTTAGTATAGTCCCAGATAACTAACAAAGAAGTGGGGTTATAGATAAGGCAGATTGTGACATTAGAGGGTTCATTCAGTGTCCATACAGTGTGAATGTCCACACTGCATGCTAAGCCTAGGCTTAGAGTTTCCACAACCTACTTTAATAAGGCCTCTTTAACCTCCCATCTAGCCTACTACCCCCAGGAGTTAAGGGAAAAGACAGGTTAATAGGAAACGGGGGTTGTGGACATGCTTAGAAATAGTTCTTTTGGGGGCTATTCCAATCTTCATTGTCAGCAGTCCAGCCCATTATCAAAACACCAAACACGAATCAGCAGCGGCAGCCCAGTTCCCTCAGAAAACACCAAACACGAACCAGCAGTGACAGTTCGATCTGGAAGAAACCGAGAAGCCCCACTGATTGGCAAGAAGCCCCCAGAATTTTATGAGAAGTTCTTTTCCGAGTTTCTCTCTACAAAGCCACGAAAAGCAAAGATCAGCAACACTGTACAAGGCAAACCAATTCAAGACAGTCTTCAGCAAAGACTAGTAAAGCGGATGAAGGCAAACTAATGCGAGAGCTTCGTCACACTGTCCGTGGGGTTATAGTTATACTCGTTCTAATCATCACCCGTCCTTTCACGTGTCTGCTTCAGCAAAACATCCTCTCACCTGTCTGCTTCAGCAAAACATCACATGCTATAACTGAGTCCCCTGGGAAACCAGAAATTTCCATTTCAGTTGAGTGTAATTCTGTTCTCGCTTTTCTTGCCCGTTCCTCCTGTTAGCTTCCCCTGTCTTCCTAAACTTTTTTTTTACTTTTATTTTTGTATTAAATTTATGTATATGATTTTATGTATCTATATAAAATGAAGTAACCACAACCAAGAGAAAAATGTGCAATATTTATCTGAGATTGTCTTAATTCATTTAACATTTGGCTTCTTAATGGCTGAAAATTTTTACCGTGTACACGAAGCACCATTCCTTGTGCATTGCTCTGTTGTTGACGTTTAGGATCGGTTACATAGCACAGCCACTGCTAACGGTGTGGTAATAAGTGTTGCCGTCAGGAATCTCTGCAGTGTCTTTGGGAGCCTTTCCTTTGCTGACACAGTGACACTGACAGAGTGTTCTCAGAAACAGACCCAGTTCTTAGGAAAGAGACACTGTCAGAAGAGAGGCACATGTTTACTTAACATCTGTGACGTTGCTTCCACAGTTTAATGTGCGAGGTATTCCTCACTAGCAGGGAAACACGAAGTTGAATTTCAGAAATCATAGACACACTTCTCAGTGTGTGCTTCTTACGTTTCAGCATCACCGAGGCATCTCTCCATCTACACACACTCATGATTTGTTAGGCTCGGATGCTTTAACACCTGTTCACTAAAACATACAGGTATGCTTTATTAAACATTAAGTGTACAGGTATGCTTTATTAACTGTTCACTAAAACAAAGAAGAAGAAAAAACACTGATGTACTGCAGGACTGATTAGAGACTCCCTAACTATCCTGAATCATGGCTACTTTGTGTGAACATGCCTTGCCCCTCCATGTAGACTTAAGTTTAGGTGTACTTAAACTTCCCCTCACCCCCTCTTCCCCACGAGTAATGCTGTTTCAGAGCAGTTGTGACGAGTCGTTACTTGTGTGAGGTTGTGTGTACTTCTAAGGTGAGAAGTACTTTTTTATCTCCCATCTGTAGCACCTAAGAGTGTCTAGCACATCACACATTCCCAAATCTGTTTGTCAAAATTGTCTAATGTGTTCAAAATGTTCTCATTGGCTAGTTGAAGAGGGGCCTAAGTACATGTCAAAGCAAGGTGTACGTGGTGAGCATGGAGTGTGAATTAGGAGGGCTGCCTGAAGACAGCCTTCTGGACTTGAGCCATTTCCACCGGAAACAGATTTGCAAAACAATCCTTGCTCACACGGGTTAGGAGGAACACTCAAGGCAGAGCCCTGGAGTTGTGACACCGTGTTGATTGAGTGTAATGGAGGTGTGGACGTCTGTGGCATGTTTCAGGAGCAAGAAATAAAAAAACGATGCAAGGTAATCCTGGTAAGGGATACCTGTGAAAAGACATCCCAGATTATTCTGAAAGCTGAACGTTCCTGTGAATCTAATACGATTAGATTATCTGAGAAAGTAATTGACCTTATGAATCATGGCTCCACTGGGGGAAACATTCGAGGAGTTTTTAAGCTTTGCCTGTCTTATATGTATCTTGCACCAACCGGTTGTACCAGTAGAGTTCCTCAGCTTTACATAGTAGTCATCACTGCATGCCAAAACCAACTTGAGGCAGCCCTGGGACATAATAACACTGATGGTGAACATTCTAGATAAACAGGACTTAGCGGTGTACTTGTTGAAGTGAAATGAACCGGGCAATTCCTTACTTGTTAAAGTCAGCAGAATTTCTAAGTAGCTGAGATCAGCATAATTAATGGAGAAGTGTATTTATAATTTAATTTATTTAAGTTTTATCAGGGTGACTAAAGGGACGCAAACCTCTAAAGAGAACGCCCATTTCAGACAGTGATTCATGTCAAAGCACTTCACCAAGGTCTTCATTAGTTGAAGAAAAATTTGAAACGCTTTTGTGAAATCAACTTTGTACAAGATAAACAGTAGTATTTATACTATACTGCATATAGTATTTTACTATGTATAGTAAACAACATTTGAGAATTTAAGGAATATTAATTGGACACACAAAGCCTTAGTGAGGTTCTTAAGTTGGTAAGTACACACTTGTTTTATCTATACATGTATGTATTTTTGTATCTGCCCTGTTTCATAATAAAACTACAAATAACATTACGTAGCACACAGAGTTCATGTCATAACTTCATGCCACTTTCAAAATTCCATCATACAGTTAGAGCGCTACTGGGATTTTAAGTTGCCATGACCACTATTTACTCATTGTTTGAACATTATGTTGGTCAAAAAGTCCTGCATGTTTGCATGACCCAGCGCTGCAGCTGCCCCACTTCCTCTATGTTTTTTTTTGTTTGTTTTGTTTTGTTTTTTTGCTTTTCTTTTTTTTAGTAGGGTTGAATAATTATATAGTCAAGGTCGTTGGGAAAGCTTGAAGCTTTATGGTGCTGGAAGAAGGGCTGATCATACTTCTGTTCCTTTGGGGTATGCTAAACTTCTGAAGAGACATCTTTTCTCTAGAGTTCATGTTTGTCAAGGTTGTCAACATGTTTGATGACTGTGTTGCTGGCAAATGTTTTCATGCATTTCCACTTGAACATTTTTGGTACTCTGTGACTATTAGAGCATCAGAAGGAGAGCGTATGCTTACAGGCAGGTTGGTACCCAGTTATTCAGTTCCTTTTCCATTTTGGCTGTATTTCATCCTACACACAAGCTGTAACTGTAACATCATCATGATTTGGCTTGCCCCATATTCTAGGTGCTTCTGGAAATGCCTCTTCCCTTCCTTTCTTATCCTACACTGTCACACTGGAGGGGGAGTTTTTTTTCCCACAAAATCTCATGACATCCAAGGAATTCATTATAGTATACAATAACATTAAAGCCACTAGTATACAACTGCAGAACTCTGTCTCAGCAGGAACAGGAGATGTATGAGGTGTGTAACAAGCAGCCTTAAAACAACTGAGTTGCAGAGCTGTCTGGTTCTCCATTATGTACACTCTTTCTGAAGTGAGGCCATCTCATCCCTCTCCCTGCCCCTCAGCCTTGTGTCTTTAGAAGCATCTATCACGAGGAGTGGAAGCAGGTTGGTTCTCTGAGAAATACTAAGGCACAATAGATCATCAGATCTGTGCAGACTTGCTCTTCTGCATCCTGTAACTCTTCCAAAAAGCTTCACACCACAGTGATTTTCATATATCACGTTGGAAGATGTCACCTTGAGGATAAAAAACAAAAACAAACAAACAAACAAACAAACAAACAAACAGAAACAGTGACAGCTCCACTGTGGCCAGACTGCATTGAAGTTAGAAATTCCCTATGAAGGGTCAAAAGTCATCCGAAACAAATTTAGAAAGTGGATAATTAACACACACACACACACACACACACACACACACACACACACACACGTATATATACCCTGGGTCCAATTCCAAGGAAAATAAATAGATGAATAAATAAATATCAATAGTGAACTTGCCATATGAGTAATGCTTCACTTCCTGAACATTACCTGAGTGAATAGGCTCTTGGGCTATGTGTCAGGGCACGGTGTTCTAACAGATTCTCTTGTTTCAGCTTTCTTAGTCCTCTTGTCCTGCTTGCCTCTCTTTTTCCCTCTCCACCTTCCGCTCACTTTTTATTGGGTAAGGCTTGATGCCTAATCTCTCTCGGGCAGAGTAAAGAAAGCTGTGTTTAGGATATTTATATTTTTTATATTAAACATTTCCCCTGACTTTGTTGTTTTTATTTACAGAAACTTGCTATTGTTTATTGCAGTCATGTAGAAACAGCCTTGTTCTCATCAGGACTGAGCCATAGTATGCTAAGCCAGGCTCACAGCTAGTGTGTGCTCTACTGGCTGACAAGCACCAAGCAGTAGAGGGGGAACTCCATCATCACTAATAAGCAGGGAACATGGGTGGATTGGGCGGCGGGGTCTAAAAACAGTGAGTGTGCGACGGGATTCTAACCAGACATGTCCCTCTGTTTCAGCCCCTGTGCTGCATGCCAGAGTGTGCAGAGGTCATGAAGAGGCAGAAGTATTATGGGAGCAGTGACAGCAGCTACGACAGCAGCAGCAGCAGCAGCAACTCAGAACTGGATGAGAACGAAAAAGAGATGTGTCAGAAGAGACTAGATCAAGTCCCATATAGCCTTAAGCACACCGGTCACGGCAAGCTAATCCAACAATCCAGTAAGTCAATCTCTCCTACGTTGCTAGAGGAAGAACTAGTAGAGGAAGAACTATAGAATTGAAACTCTTGAACTCAATAAAAAGTCCTTGGGCCAAAAGAAGCATTGTCCTGTGTGAGGAGACCTGTGTTCTCTCCCCGGTCTTTCCCTAGCCAGAGCTGGGTCCATCCCTCAACCCCTTTCAACTTCTGCAAGGAGGAAGTGGATTGAATTGAGGACCCTTCCTTCCATGTCCCATAGTGTGTTTGCTAAGTGGTGGCGTGGGCTTTGTGGATGTGCCACAAAGCTTTCCGTGGGATGTGTTATCTTTTAAGCCCACATGGTGTCTGATTCGGTTTCTACCTATCACCTACCTTGTTTGGTACTGTTACTTAGTTCTAAACATCTCTCCAGGCATTTGACTTGATATGTCTGTGAGCCCCAGAACTGGGAAGTAGTTGACATTTTGCTCCCTGTAGCTTTCATGCTGGGCAAGCATTTAATCAGGACTTTTGGTGCATCACAGGTATTTAGGAAAGCAATCAAAACTCTTCTTCCATCTTGTCCCCTTCAGCTGTCTCCATCCTCTCTCTTTTCCTTTCTTTCTTTCCTTCAGTGCCAATGGCCATGATACAACCTCTGATTTGCCACTCACCCTTAAGTATCCAAGCCAATATCTCCATTTTTTCCAGACTTTTCTCGAAAACCCCCTTCTTGCTGCTACCTCTGGTCTAGGACTGTCTTAAGACTCGTGTCACATGGCCTTTTGCACAGGACATAGTGTCTCAAGGGTCCACCAAATTCTCCAGCTCAGCAGTGTAGTGAACAGGGCTTGAGCTTTTGCAGGGCTGATCTCCAGCAGTGGTTAGCATATGTGGGTCCTGGGAATGTGTTTTAAAACTTGCCTGTGGGGCTTGTAGTAAAGTACCCAAGGAACAAAGAACTAATAAAAAGAAAGATTCAGAGAAACAACCTTTTGTTTTTTCCTAAACATTCCATCAAGATACATGCCCCCACTGCTCCTGTCAGGGAAGGTTCCTGTATTTAGCAGGGAATCCACCTCATTGAGCTTTCCAAGTACCAGCGATCGATAGCTGTAGCACCCCTCCTCTTCTTTTTCTGAAAGATTTTGTAAATGTACCTCTGGATAAGTATGGCTTGGTTTTTTATTTTGGAAGCTGACATTTTTTATGCCCAAATTTTGCTGGGTTTTAGATCCCTTGCCTGTCAGCCAATGTGGCTGTTATGTAATAGCATGAACTGACAAGGGTTATAGATCAGGGAAGAAAAAGATCCTGAGAGTTTTACAGCTCTGAGATTGTTCTACGCTCTGAGACCAAGAGATTAAAGAACCAAGAGCAGAGTGTAGTGTAATGAAGTGGAATACAGAGTTTAAACAGGAATTTTTATTTTAGGTCAACCTAATACAATTATGTATTTATTTCATTGTTATATCTTTAGGCGGGGATTATAACAAGGGTTTTACTTTGTTTTGTATTCTCTCTCCAGGAGCCCCATAGCCACAAATCCTCCGTAAATTAATGACCAAGGGCAAAATCTAGATCATGAGTAACACTTTCTTGTGTAGATGGTGGACTTAGGGTATTGTTAAAATCTCACAAAACAACATAAAACACTTTTTTTTCTCACATCATTTATAGGTGGAAGTCACAACCATTTCCTAATCTACTCAGAACCACCGGCGTATCTAACTACTTTAGTTTTCTTGTCTGAATTTCCAGGTATGGTAGGTGATAAGGGAGAAACTAAAGTGACAAGAGACAATGATATTTTCCTTCTACCCCACAATCAGGTTCTCATTAGTCAATCCTTACCTAAGACCTGTAAAGACCTACAGTGTAGCTGGGAGAAAATGGTTTAGGATTCTTCTCCTCCTCCTCCTCCTCCTCCTCCTCCTCCTCCTCCTCCTCCTCCTTCTTCTTCTTCTTCCTCCTCCTC